AATACTATTATATTAGTTTAAGTATATATAAAGATAATTTATAATAAAAAAAGGAAACTAGTAGAAATTTATATTAGAAATAAAATCTATTTAAAATTAGTAAAAGAAGTAAATAATAAATATAAGTTCCTAAATAACTTTATAAAGTTCTCTTTTAATAAAATAAGCCTATATAAAGTAACTAGAGTTATAATATTACTTTTATTTAAATTAGAACTATTATTCTAGCTAAGTATTTATTTCGTTATATTTATTAAATACCTGGAACTAAAAGATATAGATTTATATAAAAGAAAGAACCCAGAACCGGAATTAATTTTTATAAATAGAGAAAAGAGATATATTATTAAAAAAATTATAGATAAAGAAATAAGAAATATACCAGAATAATAATATAGATAATTATTTTACTAAATCTATTATATAGGATATAATATAAAGAAATAAAGAATAGGAAATAAGCTAAAAGTAAATATTCCTATACTAGTTAAGAAGTTTAAAAGAGACCTCTTAATTAGATATTAATACTATTAACTATTTAGATATCTTATTTAAAATATTTATATATAAGAATAGTATTTTATAGGAAACGGAAATTTATATATAAAAAGATTCCGAAATCATATTCTTAGCCTTATTAAATATAAGGCTAGTAATTATTACTAAAATATTTATAACTATAATAGTTAATAAACTAATAAATTAATTTTCTTATTTATATATTTCTATTTATTTATAAAACTCTATATATTTATATGCCTTTATTTATTTATATACTTTTATTTATTTATATATTTCTACTTATTTATATACTTTTATATATTTATATATTTCTATAAATTCTATTATATTATTCTTTAGTAAAACCCTTAAGAAGCTAGTAGAAGTAAAGCTTAAGAAGAAGTAATAGAGCCTAGCCGGAAACGCCTTTATAATATTAATAGATATTACTATAGGGCTAATTATAGTCTATAATATATTACTAGTATATACTAATTTAAGAAAATAGCTAGATACTAGGAATTTAGAATATAATAAATATAAGTACTAATATAGAAATAACTAGGTAAAAGGTATTCTATAGGATCTAATTAAAGAAGAGAAAGAATTATAGGACCTATTTATAAATCTAGTAAATAATTATATTAATAGTAAACTATTTTACTAAGAAAACTAAAGTATTCTTATATAGTATATTAGTTTAGTATTTAAGCTATTAGTAAAATGAATCCTAGTTAATAGTAAAACTAGTATTTCTTATATTAGTAATTCGAAAAGCCCTCTCCTAATTAATATCTGCCCGGATTATAATTATCTTAGAATATTATAACTTTATATTAAGGTTAATCTCTTTTTTTAATTTCTAATAAATATCTATTTAGATTACTTTTCTTTTAGAAATTACTATAACTAGGGTAATACCTTTTAACCCAGATATATATTTATTAATTATCCTAACCTGAAAACTAGAAAAATAGATAGAGATAACTATATTATATATATTTGCCTTAATAAGAACTATAATAGCTAAATTCTTATTCTTAGTAATAGCCATTTTGAGATATTTAAGATTACTAAGTATATACTAATAAATTAGTATTATTTCTTTATAGATATTATAGAATAAGACCTAAAAAAGCTAGTTTCTATTTTCCTAGAACCCGAAAAGGCTAAATATTACCTAAAGAGCCCTAAGCTATTAAATATCTGCCTCTTAGAAATATCTAGTACCTTTAATAAGCCTATAGAGAATCTAATTAAGATTTCTAATAATTACTAGAACTATAGTATTATAAATCTAAAGATTAGAAAAACTATTTTCGAAAATATTATTACTTATAGCTATAATTCTCAGGTTTCTATCTTTAATATTCTTTTTTATATTTTAATATTTGCCTAAATATATATAGAAAAAATCAAAAAACTTATATAAGATATTTCTTATCTAGTAAATATACTTAATATATTTCCGGAATTTATTTTCTTAATTCTTTATAGGTTTTATAAATAGCTCGCCTATATAATATATAATAAATTAGACTATAATATTCTCGGGAGATCTATAATTAGAATTAATATTCTAAAAAGATAAAATAATATTATTATATTAGAAATCCTACTTATTACTCAAGATATTATATAATAGATATTTCCGTAACTCGGCTATTATAAACCAGATAAAGATTATACTAACTAGCTATTTTAGAAGCTCTTACTTAATTAAGGGAACTATAATACTATCCTAGTCTTTATACTAGAAATTACTAGTCCCACTTCCTTATTATAGAAAAAAAAGAAACCTAGCTCCCTAATAAGATTCTCCTAGTAAATTACTAATAACTTTATATTTATTAAGGTTCTATAGAAAAAGGCAAGAAAGAGTAAAGCCCCCAAGATTAAAGAACTATAGAAATAATCAGACCCCGGTACTAATAACCGGATATTAAAGATATAGGTAGCCTATATTCTATTTAATTTACCTTAACTAGCTAATTATATTACTATAGTTAAGTTTATTAAGACCAAGATTAATAGTAAGAAGCTATTTAATTATCTGGCTACTGAATATAGTAAGATAACCTAAGCTATAATTCTTTCTTACTTATATTTATGGTTTCCATAGTAATTCTTTCTTTATAATTCTTATATAGATATTCTCTAATTAGAGAATAATACTATTAGATCTTTATCTTTTTATATTTTTTACTATCTAATATATTTTTTACTATAGATTAAATATTTTTCTAGTCTTTATTAATTAGATAAATACTTACTAGTCTTTATTAGTTAGATTAGTTCTATAGAATACTAGATACTATAATTTAGTTATAGATAAACTTAAGTAATTATTTATAGCTAGAACTAGTCTTTAGTAACTAGTACTCTAAATAGATAGGAAGTTTCTTTTTTATTATTTATTATTTTATATAAATAGATTAATTATAGCTACTGCGGGAGTAGCTTTTTCTTGTTCTAGGGGAGAGAGATATTATAGGAAGGACCAGACCTTCTGTATCTTAGTCAGTGGCATTCATACTAGCCTCCTTAAGAGGCAGTGGCGGTTCGTCCATCAAAATGCATATATTTTGATCTCTTCTTCTTCCTCGACAAGAGCTTAGGAAGTCGCGAAGCTGGGCGAGATGATAAACGTCGAGGGACCCTTGCAATCCCTTACCCACCCGGCAGATCCTCGATACCTGGTGATTCATGTGAACCGACAGGCAGCCGTTTAAAAATATCAATCATTACACCTAGGGAAAGTTGGAGAATGCTCGTCTTACGAAGTCGATGTGCATATACTCGTATGGCTTATTTTCGGCAAAACTGTCCCCTTTCTGGATCACGTGCTCTGCAGCCGTACCTATCAATTGGACATCTCACAGGTGATAACATATGAGGGAGACCTAGTTCGATGAAAGGCCAAATCTGTGAAAGGTATTTGGCTGAAATATCTTCGTAAAATTCGTCCAGATGAGCCAAGTAGATTATTATCACGTGAGTTATTTCGAATGAACCAGCTGGGGATGTGGATGCTTAACTTGTCTTGTGGCGGCGTAATTATGAATAACTCAATCAATTTCCATGCTATTCAGGAATTAATCCTTTTTGATGGCACTCAAGTCCCACCGCTCTCACCAGCAAGGCAAACGGTTCGCAAGTGTGCGAAGCACCTGCAAGGGCAGGTCTACTGGTACTCGTAAGGTTGAGGCGGTACTCGTCAGGTTAGAAGGGATCACCCACCAACCGCCCAAACCCCCTTTCCGCCCACGTCTACCCCACCAAAATTTTCTCGATTTTTCAAAGTCTTTGGAAAATTCTAAAAATTTGCTAGATTATAGAGAATACTCGAAATATTGCGAATATCACATTAATTTTCGATTTTGTGGCGTGAAGGTCTCCAAAATCCAAGTTGAGCGGAAAGGGGGTTTGGGCGGTTGGGTGATACCTTCTAAGGCAGCACTGCAATTTTAGCGTCAACGAGACGAGACACTCACAAACCTGCAAGGGGACCACGTGTAAAAACCACGTGTGAGGATCCTAGCATATTATTCACTGCAATTTTAGCGTCAACGAGACACTCACAAACCTGCAAGGGGGACAGCGTGTGAAAACGTGCACTGCAATTTTAGCTTCTGCGAGAACTCTCACAAACATGGCATAGTGGTTCGCAAAAGTCATGCGCTCAACCAGCACTGCAATTTTAGCGTCAACGAGGACAAAGGGAAGGCAGCCCATGAAACTTTACCAAAGCTTATTTCATAAAAGCGAGAATTCATTTTTGAGGAATCTACCTCATCCCCACACCATGATTTCCCCACTGATGTTGCATTGTTGCCCAAAGATCGCTCAACGCCCTCCCGCTTTCCCGTGCCTCAACCCCACCCAACCACCACTCTCACAAACATTCATCTTACCTAGTTGCTCACTCGAAATCTGCCCAAACCATCTAGCCCTATACCTACAGCCCCAGTTTTCACCTCTCCTACCCGTCTCCGTATCGGTCCGAACCCACACCCCCAAGCCCCTGAATCGTTGCAAGTCGCGCTCCACGCTAAAAACCTCGAAGTGTACGTAAGCAGCTCTTCATCCCCCTCTATCCACCTATTCCTCCCCACCCCTACCTCTAAAAATTATAAGAAAGCGGGGATCCCATCTAGCGTATCCAGGACTGTAGATCCAGGGTTTTTGAGGAGGGGAGAGGCAAATTGGAGGGGTGGTGGGAGGTGTTTGAGTTTGTGTGAGAGAAGAGTAGTGCGGGGCTAGTGATTTAGTGGGTTCCGAGGTTTTGGTTTGGGGCAGATATACTTTCTGGGGTCCCGTGGTTTGCTCTGGTAAGGAACGGAAGGTACGAACGGGTACCTGAGGGATCCATGGCTCATGACGAGAGCGTAGTGCAGGGGCCAGAAATCTCAATCTGAGTCTCATTCAGTTAGCCCCCTGGCTACTTTCACAAGGCAGTGGATTGTTCTGATTATAATGATCAAATATGTATTATTTCTTTCAGATGTGAGAGCATTATGTATACAAGTCTAATAATAATACAACAGAAACGCCTGTGTAAATGCTAAATCGCCATCGCTATGCAGAAACTGATCGCTATGCAGAAACCAACCGCTATGCAGAAACCAATCGCTATGCAAAAACCGATCGCTATGCAAAAACCGATCGCTATGCAAAAACCGATCGCTATGTCAACAAGTCTAAAAAAGTAAAAATAAAAATGCAACTCAAAACTATCGTTTGGCAATGCCGCACTGCTTGAGGCACATCTCAACACCCTTCGCGATGGTTGCTGGAATAGCGCCCTTGAACTTGGCGACATCGGCTCCGTCGACCGCTTGCCCAAAAGCAGCAGACACGACGTCGGCGCTCATAGCGAACAGCTCGTCAGCGACCTGGCCAGCGCCAAAGTCCTCACTATTAAAGCTTGCGACAAATGTAGCAGGCGTGCAGTCGGGGTTGAACTGAGCATGAACAGAGCCTTGATAGAACGGTGTCATTTGATTTGTGGTAACTGTGTTGGTGATGAGTCGTCGGCCATCCGCGGCAGCGTTGTTATTGAAGACGCCGTTCTCAGGGAGCATCTCAGTGACCAAGCGGCCAGAGGTGACGATCTGGAGCTCAGTGCCGCGAGGATGAACGTGAGGTGTGTTGAAGCCACAAGGACCCAAGAATCCGACTGCCATTCCGCTGCCGGTTCCGACGAGTGCTGGGAAGGTCTTGCGGTTCGCGGCGATGAGATCTCCACCCTTGCCACCCTTGCCTTTGAGTGCTGGGTTGCCGAAGTCGAAGACGAATTGGCTGTCTTCTGGCAGGAGTGCAATGCGGTCGGCTGCTGTGTCGGCGAGGAAGAGTTGTTGTGTGAGGGAGAGGGTTGAAGAGGAGGGTGCTGGTGTTGCTGGGGGAGAAGCAATGCTTGTCGTGGATGTTGTGGTTGTGTTCTTGCCGGAGGACGATGTGGGGGCAGCAAGAGAGAGGGAAGCCAAGATGGCAGCGGCGATGACTTGAGTGAAAAGCATATTGGTAGTTTGGAAGTTGGCTGAGGAGATCGGAAGACGGAAGATGGGGAAAACTAGGAGAAGGCTTCACAAATGAGAAGACGCTGTTGGATGTTTGATTGTCTGATGGAGATTGAGTACATCGCGGGGACAATCTATTATATAGAGATCTGAGCTTGCCTCCAACACTTGCGGTGGTAAGCAACATTTTGAGGTTATTTCGAGGATGCTGTGCCTCCTCTGTTCGCTTGTGTTGTCGGCGTCAAAGAAGCCGTTGAGGCTGCGTCGTGTCAGATTTTGGCGCTTATTTTCGGGGGTGAGGTGGCTGAGCCTGCAGGGCAGCGCATAGCGCAGGGGCGGGCTTAAAAAGGGATCCAGGTACTGTATCGTGATTTGCTGCAGCAGGGATAGCAAACGCCTCTCAAATCAAGCCACAGAGATTCCAAGCAACTATGACGAATCAAAACACCAAAAGATTGGATGGCGACGCCTAAATCGAGCGGACCCTTGTCACCAGCCACACCAGCCACTCAAATGTTTCTTCGTCTTGAAACACTTCCGGAGAGGCACATCCAACGGCAAAGCCAACATGTGGCCGCCCTGCAAGAAACAGAAATCGCGTCCAATGGTGAGATGACAACTATGAGGATGAGGATCCTCCTTTGACCAACAACCGGAAATCTTGTCATCCGAACAGAGGATTGAACCTCACAGCGCTTAGAATCTGCCTGATGCACATGACTCTCTTTGAGGAGGAAGTTCTGATGAATATTCTTGATCCTGCGGAACAGTCAAGGCACAGTTGCGAATGCAAAAACAAGGATAACAAGGATTCACATAAGTTGGTCTGCCCTTTCCGAACCGGTGAGCGGGCGAAAGTCTTGAAATTGGAAGGTAGAATCTGCCAACCTGAACCATGTTAGACAGGTAGTCTAATGGACAACATAACTAGACTCGCGGCTCGACGTCCTTCTTTAATCGTTCTTCCGTAATCTTGAAAATCTTCGGAATGCCACTTTGCTCAAAAGGCACATCCTCACGAATCATCTTCGTAATGCGCTTTGCTGTTCAAAAGATGGGAGGCATGCCACCTCCATTGTACCCAGCAAGGACAAAGTGATTTTCTTTGCCAGGAGCTTGTCCGCGGAATGGGTAACCATCGGCTGTGTGACCAATGATTTTGCATCTCAAGATCAGCCTCATATAATCACTCAAAAGGCGAGCAGGTGGACTTACTCCCAGACCACAAGTAATCAACCATCGCACCACTTTTCCTCCATCCCCGATTTTTTTTGCAATCACAAACTCAAAGTGAGGTCTAGCAGCCTCAAACACAGTACTATCATCACCATTGTTGAACCAGAGCTTTTTGTCCATCCCATAAGTATATTTTGCTCCTCCGCAGATAACTCGAGTTTCATCCAAGTTCCAACAAACGCTACCATTCGCTGAAGTCGCACTTCAACCCAGCTTCTCCATTCAACAAAATTCTCTAGTTCAAAATGCAACACAAGATGGGTATTTGAGTGAAGCAAACTCACTCAAGTTATCTGGAACAATGCGGCGATCTCAGGGTAAGCACCCAGCTGTCAGGCGCAGGGCACCAGTCACTCGTCCAGACCGTCACTCCGCTACCCGCGATATTGACACAACACAGGCAGATGGACAACGAAAACCTTCTTATCCGTACCTCTTAACTTCTTTACTTGGCCTTCCAACATAAAGAGGAAGTTGGTTCAGACGTTCAAACCTTCCAGTTGTTGAAATATCTCTCTGATTACGCATGATTGTGGCACAGAAATGTGAAGACACTCTTGGCAGCTCTTGAAGATTTGAAGCGTTACAGTAAGCAGCGTATCTGCTTAACTTCAGTGGATCCAACTTATTTATCATAGAAATATATGCCATCTATTCCCTCTATATTGCATACTCTAATACTCTAGCTTAATAGGCACAGCCTCTTTTGCACCACAGGCAAAGAAATATCAAGTTTCCCCAATGAAAATGAATCTCATATGTATACGAGGCACTTTTCTCTATTTGCCCAGCAATGACCCAGTACTCACTCAACACCAGCAAACCAATCAGCAAAAAACGCTACGTTATCCCACCAAAGAGACTTTGTGTTTTGTGTCTCGTGTTTTCGTTTTGTCCGTGATATGATGCATACGAAAGCAAAAGCAAACTCCCTCCCGTATCCCGAAAATTGAAATGCTCCAAAACTATGATTCGTCAAGTTTTACTGGACGGATGCCATGCGTTGTGACATGCTAGTTAAGTTAGTTTCGTGGTACTTGAAGGGAAGGGAAGGGAAGGGGGAAACTTACAAGTCAAAGAACGCAAACTGGCTGGGCTGGCTACCAAACTCATACACGAACCTCGAAGCAAGGTAACTACCAAAGATAGCTCTGAGGTAATTGTCGGGGACTCTCTCAATGATCAAGTCCAAGCCAATCTTATCGAGCAACAATTTCGGCAGTGCATCAGCTAACACCGATCCTCTCAACTTCTCATTCTTCCACAGATCTGTCCCCTGCAGCTCTTCGTCTAGCTTGGTGATAGCCACACTCAGAGTGTCGCTGAGCGTTGATCTCGGGATCTTGGTTAATTCGTGTTCACGCCAGATAGCCTCGAATTCCAAGCGAGCGTTGTCCTTGATCTTCTCTTGGACGGCTTTGACGTAGGCTTGGTAGAATTCCGGCGGGTTGCCGTCGGCGCCAACACACATGTTTTGCACGAAGCCTTCGTCGTCGAAGGATAAGGAGGCCAGAACTTCGAGGGAAGACGAGGTGACGCCGCCTTTATTGGCACTGGCGTCCTTGAAGAGAATACAGCCGGCGGCTTCGAGACGGAGCTTGGCGTCTTGGGTGATGAAGAGGTTTGCGCCTTCAACTATGTATGGGATGGTGGATTTGTGGTTCTTGATCAATTTGCCGACGCTTGAGAGGTCGATAGATTCGGGTCGGCCACCGCAAGGGACGAAGGAGTCAGTCAACCCAGAATCTCGGAGGTGGAAGGTATTGCGGAAAAGTGTTCCGTTGTTTATAAGCTCGCCAGATGGCAGCTTGACGTTGTTCTCATCGACAAGCACACGGTATCCGGCCTCCGAGAGCTTCGTCATGTCAAATTGAGAGATCATGACACGCTTCTTGGCAAGTCGAATGAGTTCGTTGCGATCAATTCCGTTAGGATCCACTAACACACCGCTGCCATCAACAACCGCGGTGTATTTCTCATTGCTAAGGAGGATCTCGTTGCTTCCCAAGTCACCGTCGGGCCCACCAGTCTGCATCTTCCGAACTTTGCTAGGGTCCAGCTCAAGCTTCCGGTAGATACCCTTAACAAACTCACGGACTGACAGGGTAGTCATGCCATAAGCGTCATGGGGAATACCACCAAGCTTTGGAGATTTGCCAGTGAAGAAGGACTTCCACCAAAGTGCACCACGCTTCCGAGCGTGCTCAGTTGCCCAATCGACGAGGTCTGCAGTGTTCTCATCAGGGCCCATGAAAAGAATCTCTTGCTTGCCGTAGAGATCCACAATCGGGTTCTTAATACCTGGCGAAGCAGCTGGGAGGAGAAGATCCATAATGCTGTCGATGTACTTTTCGAAAGCAACACTGCCCTTGTTTTGGTGCGCGGCATCAAGCAGGATAACACCCTTAGAGCCGCCCTCGGGGATATCCTTATTCTTGCGCTGCTGGGTGTTCGCAAGACCATAATTCTCATCGAACATGGATCGAGCGTTAATGGAGTAGGCTTCCTTATTCCGGGACTTGACAATGCGGATTCCTCCTCTCGCGATATCACGGAAACGAAGATGGAAGCCTCGACTCTCAGAGCTAATGACTAAGAACATTCCATAGAGAGGTTGAGGATACTCAATCTCGGGGAGGAAAGCCGGGTCGAGACGAAAACTCAGCGCAACCTTTGTAGGGGTATAGAAGTTGGTCTTGAGAAGGGCTTTGTTAAAGATTCGGAATGCGTTCATGACCATCTCCTCGTGCTCGTTATCGACCGTCCTGGTGATTAAGTCCCCGATCTCTTTATCGGATAGGACCTCAGCTGACGGCGCGGGAGGCACCCAATCTTCGACATAACCCGGCCCGAGGGTCAAATGGGTGTTGGCGAAGGAGGCATACAGAGTACGAATCAGCTCAGGATGGGACTCGATGATCTCGAAGATGTAGCCAGCAGTGAACGTCTCAGTCCTCAGGCGTCGCTTGATATTCGAGAGAATCTCTACGTGGGCGCTACTGTCCTTGTCCAAAGCCGACACCAAAGAGGCATAGTCGGAGCCTAAAGATCTGTTAGTTTTGATGATATATTAGAAGGGAAGTTCGCTTACCAAGACGGTTCAAAAAATGCTGGACAAACACCCAGAGACAATGTCCGTAAATAGTCTCTTGAAGACTTAATCTACCAGAAGCAAACAAAGCCTGGAATTTGTTCTGAGGAATGCAGTAAAGTAACGATATCTCCTTGGTGATCTGGTGAATAGAGGCCTCGAGTGGCGGAAACTTTTTGGATTCTAAGTTTGCCGCAGGCTTGAGATAGAGACAAATGACAGTGATGCCATTGCTGAATTGCTCGACGTACTTTCTGGAACTGGTCACACCGTAGTAGTGGTACAAGTCCGAGAGAGCACTGAACATGCCTGCTGCTGTCCTACGACGGAACGCAACGACGAGTCTCTTCTCCTTAGAGCCCTCAATGTCAAATACCTCAATCACGGGGCCATTTCTGGAGACTGCCAAGTCGATGATCTCTTGGTAGATTTGTTTTGTATTCTTCGTAGCCTTGGCAAGGAACATCCGGTCTGCAATAACCTCAAGTCGCGTCTCGGTGGGTGCCGCCTTTGGGTCAACAAACATGCATTGGTAAACGAAATAGCAGCGCATGGTTGACTTTGAAGCAGTAGTGCCAGACAGATTTGTTGGCGACCGGAAAGTCTCCACACGGTAACTTGAGTTCTGTGTGGAGGCATCGAGGTATTTCTTCTCGAGTCTGTGCTCATATCGAGGACCACTGATATTGCTGATACCGGGCTCACTAGTATCGATGTAGATTGCGTGATCAGCGGCTTCCATGTCCAATCTAATTTCATCTCTCTTGTCCTTGCGGGCAAAAGCAGCAATCTTGGCGGCATAGAGGGAAGTAACATGGCTCACAATGGCATCGACATTCTCCAGTTGAAAGTAGACATCGTCGATTCCGAGCTCATTGTAGAACCAGTTTATTTGCTCATCGATCATAGGATCAGGGATCCAAGAAGCTTCCTCAATTTTCCCCTTAACTTTGAACATTTAGCATACGTCTAAATTGCTTGCGGCAAGTGTAGAAAAGGAACCGAATAGTCGAGAAAAGGAAGGGTGATTAAGAGATATAAATAATGTGAGACTGATTGGGCTCAACTAGTAGAGTCCAGCTTCATTCTTGCAATAATATTCCAACTGAAGAATCGTGACTTACCCTGGAGCATTTGCGCCTTCTTGCCCTTAAATTCTGGAGCAATATATCCCACAGTGGCAGAGCGCAGGACTCGGTGTCCATTGCCATTGCCATTCTTATATGGTACGCTGAAATGAGTCGGTTGAGGAGATGGGTGTCGGTCGGGAGTTGCAACTACATCCTTGATAATTTTGTTGACGGGGGATAGTGGGGAGGTAGGGACTTCGAGGCTCGCCATATCGTCGAGGGGGTCGATGTCCTCGGGGAACGGAACGTCAATAGATTCGAAGTATTCGGGGAATTTCTCCGCGTAGTCAGGAAACTGAAAGGTAGGACCCATAAGGTCAGCAGAATTCAGAGTTAATGTTTCCGTCATTGTGTTGGTATGCTGGCCCGAGAGTTTGCTAAGACCTCAAAAGAAAGAATGACACTGGAGTGAGGAAGGGGAGGGGGAAGAGCCCAGGAGCGAACTGCCCGGCTTTTATCTTGGACTCAAGCACGTACTTTTGGCTCCCTACTCCTGACGAGGTCTCGATGAGTCGCACGGCTGCACGCGTACGAGGCGGTATCTCTGCGAGGTCGGCGGATTGGTACAGGTTTCCCTTGACTGCCAGCGGTGAGCCCCTTGTTACGGTAAATCTAATAGGAGCGATAAGAAAGCTTGTGGAATGGGGAAGCCAAGGTTAAAAGCAACGTACCGGCAGCACAGTTCGTACCTGTGCGACTGCTATCCGCCTGGAGGTGCTCGAACGATTTGTGTGACCGGGTAGCGGCTGGGGAGGTTGCGCAAGATCTTTGTCGTGCTGAGCAGGCGACTGGGGGAAATGGTCCGAAGTTTTAAGTGCAGATCTGACTTTCCAGATGCCTCGGGAGCCGCAACGAATGTGACAAGTAGCGTGCAAGGCGAACGTGAGGGCCTCCGCTGCCGTCAGGGACAAGGACAGGAGATTAAGAAAGGAGGGAGGGAGACCAGGACGAGGGGCAGTAAGCTGAAAGCTGGGACGGGTGTTTCAATGGATGAACTCTGAATACTTGCGCAATGAGCGAGGAGGGGAACGATGAGCCATTTAACAGCAGACGGCGGTTTTATATATCAGGCGAGAGCGAATGCTAAGCAATGCAAAGCAATGCTCTCAAATGGGGTTGTTAGTCCATTTCTCGATGATGCAACTGAAAAAGTTTCCGTACCTGAGTGACGCCCTCGACCCTCGACCCTCGTGCCCCGCCCCAGAGAGCCGGTTATTCAAGGCAGAGCGAGGGGGGGGGGCCTGGCCTTGACCAGAAAGAAGCCTAGCCCGCACCCAAAAGAGCCCGCTAATTTCCTGTTCCGGACTAGCGCATTCCGCTCGTGTCTATTTCAGGTGTGCGACCTCGTGTGCCCTCGTGTCTTGGCTACGGGCTGCACGATGGGGCAGGGGTTGCCCGCCACACCATCGGCGGTGCAGATGGTGCAGACGGCAGTGGCAGCCACGGTGAAGACGAGTCCCGTGATGGGCGGCCGTGACTAAACTGACCCCGCGCCTAGACTCCTCCAGGATTTCACGGGGGTAATGAAAACTATATCAGACTCCAGAGGGAGAAGCTTATTGCCAGCGCCAAACGTAAGAGTCCCAGATACATCACAATTTGCGACATCTCATGACACCGAGTTGCAGTTGCTATTACCACATAGCTCAATGCACCTCTCGCCCTCGCCGTGCCAACCGGCCCATCACGCCTCGCCTCGCCTCCCTCCCTCCCTGCCTCCTTCCCCTCCTCTCAAACTCTGTCAACTGACGGGGGAGATTTGTCCAGGCCACGATTGCTTCAATACCGCTGTCCGCTTGGGCCAGCGTCTGAACCCTCGGGGGACGTGTCCAATCTTCCAGAATCTACACCGCTGGATATCGCCATCAAAAGACCGCTTTGCATGCTTGCTTGCTGCAAAGGCCAACCAGGCCAGTCTCCTGAGTCAGGGAGACGAGTTTACCAAGAGACGGTAATTGCTGGCATGTTATACCAGGCTAATGTTAAGTAACTTTGCCATTTGGAATTCAATGCCAATTGTGACTCCGAGCTCTCCTTTCCCCTTTTTTTTATTTTCTTCAATTAGACACATCCCAGTCAGAGTTCACGGTTGCTAGGGATAAGGTCGGCCCCAACCTTAGCCACATGCCGAGCCCCTTTTATTAAGGGTAGTTGCCACTTTCACGTGTCCGCCAAAACTCCCGTTCCCGTCGCCCCGAATACGGTACCCGAATCCGTTAGAGACTTCACCACTCTCTAGTAAACTCAAAATAACGTTCAGCTGTCAAACACGCACCAAATTAGCTGAAGTTGCCATTACGTTTCAGCCATGGCATCCCTTGACCAGAACCTGCACGTGCTGAGCAGAGAATATGCAGTGTCGCTTGATGCCCGAGACCCTCTTCGCCATCTTAGGCCCGAATTCCTCATCCCCTCCAAAGCTCAATTGAAGGCTAAATCTTTGCCGGAAGCAGGTAAGAAATGCTGCTTCCAATGTTACGTTCCTCGTGCTGAAGGATTGTAGAATCAAGTGACTCGTCATCACTCAATGCTTCTGTCTATCTGTGCGGGAACTCGTTGGGTTTGCAACCTAGGTTGACATCGATTCGCATGCAGCAGTACTTTAGTACTTGGGCTTCACAAGGGGTTTTTGGGCACTTCAAACCTCTCAATGAATCTCCTCTGCCAACGTGGTTGGATGCAGATATCCGGGCTTCCGAGGCAATTGCCCCCATTGTTGGCGCCCAAGTGTCCGAGGTTGCTGTTATGGAAACATTGACTGCGAATCTACATCTTCTTATGTCTGCTTTCTACAAGCCTGATATTAATGGCCGGCATAAGATCATTATCGAGAACCAAGCATTCCCATCAGATCACGTGAGTCATATTTCCTTTTGGAAGCCGATGATCGAGACCAGTTCAGTGACTGGGAGCAAGCAAGGGTAAGTAGCTCTGAACCGCTGCTTGAAAATAGAGCCATATACTCTTCAGGAATGCTGGTAAAACTTCACGGAGCATGGGCAAATTTATCACATGTTCAGAGACAAACCCGTCAAGCTTCATCTAATAGCTTCCAGTTCGCAGCAGAGTCCCAGATTCTTCACCATAACTTAGACCCTTCTACATCTCTAGTCACCATAAAACCACCATCCCTCGCCAACTCCACGCTCACAACGGACCAAATTCTATCAGTCATTACCGAGCACGCCTCCACAACAGCCCTCATCCTTCTCCCCGGAATCCAATACTACACCGGCCAGTTCCTCGACATCCCGGCCATAACCGCCTTCGCGCACTCCCACTCCATCTTCATAATTTGGGATCTCGCACACGCAGTCGGGAACGTGCCTCTCCAGCTGCACGACTGGAACGTCGACGCGGCAGTCTGGTGCAGCTACAAATACCTAAATTCCGGCCCCGGCGCAGCTGGTGGTTTCTTCGTCCATGAAAACAATAGCAAAGTCTCAACTTCCGAAGCTGGAGATGGGAAGAAGGAGTTTGGTAAAAGGTTAAGTGGCTGGTGGGGAAGCGACAAGAGCTCGCGATTCGCGATGGATAATCGCTTCGTGCCAATCCCCGGCGCGGCAGGCTTCCAGCTTTCGAATCCGAGTATTTTGGATATCACGAGTTTGACAGCTTCGCTTGAAGTCTTTGAGAAAGCTGGGGGAATGGGCCATCTCCGAGAAAAATCTCTGAAGATTACTGCTTACCTTGAGAATTTGCTTTTGAATATGGGAGCTTATGAAGAGAAGGTGTTTGAGATTATCACCCCCAAGGAGAAAGAAGGGAGAGGAGCCCAGCTTAGTTTGAAATTAAAAGATGGCTTGCTGGATGTAGTTATGAAGGAGTTAGAGGAGAAGGGCGTGGTGGTTGATGAGCGGAGACCGGATGTTATTCGTGTGGCGCCTGCGCCACTGTATAATAGTTTTGGGGATTGTTGGGAGTTTGTAGAAGCGTTTAGGGAAGCGGTTCAGGTTGCTGTTAAAGCTAAGGGAGGCGAGGTGAAGGCTGAGGGGACGAGGGAGTTCGAGAAGACGAGTTGAGTGAGGATATATAATGTACTTACAAAGGAAGGATATAAATTTTGCATTAGTAGATCACCCACTTGTTATGAATACCTTCTCCTGTACACTTCCTCACTTATTTCAGGTAAAGCTACTGAGCCGTGTTGTTACTTCCTGGTGAGACTAAAGTCGAATGTCCGAGCCCTCTTCAAATAAGACCGAAATTTCTCCATAATTAAGATGTACTATTGTACTTTCCTCTCACAGTTCAACTCAATTAATGAACAATACCCCGCATTTGACTGGCCAAGATTGAGCGGATTCCAGATTCTGCTCTTGCAAAATTCTTCACCATATCTGGTGACGCCGAAGAAGTGAATCGTCAACCTGGAGATATTGTTTCTAGGGAGAAATCCAAGCTAACTTTTGGAAGATTTGTAAAAGGAAAGTTGTTTAAGAGAAAGCCTTATTTTCTCACTTTATCACTTAGAGTTTAGAATAATAATAAACCTAGTAATTCGAGTCCTAGTCAAAAGTAAGGGGAGTTTGACCCCTGTCCACGGCAGCTGCGGATCCCTGTCAAGATCATGAGTTGAAAACGAAATCTCGCAATCACGCGAAAAAAAAGTTCAGACTTCAGAGCAACGCGGAAACTCCACGAGCCTCCACGCCTGCCAAGTCCTATGTTCGCGACATTATCCCGCAGGAGCTCGAGAGCCAGGAAAGCTTACATATGTTCATCATGTCTGCACAATGCCCTCACGCATGCTCCTCCCGGCCCCCTTCAAGCAGGTGGAGCTGATCGCGCGCGGCGAGTTTTGTCCTTCTATTCCACTTCCACTTCCAGCGATGCCCAACCCCCCAACGAGGCCATCGAGCCTGCCGAAACTCCGAAGACGGAAGCTGCTGAAGATGGAAAGGCTGCCGCCGTTGCAGATAGTGCCGAGGGGCAGAGGCTGGGGAAAGGAAAGAAGCCCAAGGGGCGAAGGCTATCGAACTCGGAGAGCGCATTGAAAGGCTTGAGACAGTCGTTGGCGTTGGCTGTAGAGCAAGAAGTTGTCCTCAGCCGCAGAGACCGGGTTGCGCAGACGGTAAAGGGGAATGCTGCTGCTGTTCGAACATCGAGGGTGGCACGAAGGCTGGAACTTGCGCAGATGGTGAAGGGAAAGGAGAAGAAAGCTGCTGAGACTGGTGAGGCCAAGAAGGATACTGTCAAGGCGCCGAAGACCAAGAAGGCCACTTCCAAGACATCAAAGGCCAAGAAGCAGAGCGATGAAAAAAAAACTGAGGGGTTGTCTTCGCTGGTTCGACAGTTGGCCGTAAGGGAGGCAAGGCCCTGTTTTCGAAGCGTAGTCGGTCATAAGTCCACGGATATGACAGAGAAGGGCGAGGAGAAACCTTCCACAGGGGACCAGGAAGCCCAGGGTGTTGTCGGGAACGCTGATAAGAAGACGACCGTCCTTTGTCTTAGGACGCGTACAGACCCGACAAATCCAGATTCTTCTGCAGTTCCCGCCTTCTTAGCAAAATACCCAGAGATTGAGAAGAAGGTTCGAGAGTTCCAAGAGTACGCCTCAACAACCCAAGCGGAGGATATTCCGGGGGGGCCAAGTGAGAACTTACTCAAAAGGAGATTATCAACGAGAAGGAGGACACTGTTCAAATTGATTAAGACTGGGCGACTGTCACGAGAGGAGAAACAAGTTCTCAGGAAGCTGCTGAGACCTTCTATTAGCACCAGAGCCTCTCATGCTTTACTCAACCTGACGACAGTGGAAACCCCCTCGGCTGCTGTTGCCAAACGTAAGAGTACGACACTCGTAGCAGCCCCTTCAGCTGCGCCTGTCAGGGGACGCGTGAGACCAACAACGGAAGCACCAATACAGAGCGAGAAGCCCGGCCCCATATCAGCGGCAAGAGGAACCACTAAACATGAAATCGAGACAATCAAGGCGAACGAGCTCCAGCTCGTGCCCATTGACAAGGAGCCACTCGAGGTTCCAAGCTTGGCTTATGGCCTGGAAAGAGTCCTGTTCAACCCTGGAGTCTATCACCTCCAAGATCCTCGATCTCGAGTATTCAATTTCGATCCTTATTTGCAGACTATTATGCCCGTCAGCGAATTTGACTTCAACGCTTTGAAGCAGTATATCACTTCTTCTCGCGACAAGACGCTTCTCTCAAAGGCCAAGGAAGAGGAGAAGAAGTATACCGGATCGACGTCCAGCATGACAGCTGCGCTAGGGCATTTCCATTTTCTGCTGTCCCAGTGGCGGCCAATCACCACTGGTATTCTATCACAAATGTTCCCTGTTGAGTTCAACACATTTACCGCCCTGCAGCGTGGTCCAGTTGCAGTATTCTTACGTTGGAGAGATGGGACTTATGCCATCGATGCTGACAAGGAGTACGACGACTCCAACATCCTGATGATGCTCGGCAAATCGATGGAGAAACTTCTCACTCTGTCAACCGACGACTTTGAGAAGTATCGGAAGGCAAACTCGGACCAGATTTCGGAAGAGCAACGGAACGAATCCGAGCCATTTCACTACACGACTATGGGAGACTTTCTACTGAGATCCCAGTTAGATGCTCATGATCCTAGACTGCCGGGCACTGGTATGTTCGATCTCAAAACCAGAGCCGTGATCTCTGTCCGCATGGACACCTCCGCTTTTGAAGAAGGGAGAGGGTACCAGATCCGCGGCCGTCACGGTGAATGGGAGTCTTTCGAGCGGGAGTACTACGACATGATCCGCTCTGCTTTTCTGAAGTATTCGCTCCAGGTCAGAATGGGCCGTATGGACGGCATATTCGTCGCCTTCCATAACACCGAGCGGATTTTCGGCTTCCAGTACATCAGTCTCCCAGAAATGGACTACGCGCTGCATGGCACGGACAACACTGCAATCGGAGATTCCGAGTTCAAGCTGAGCTTGGAGTTACTGAATCGTGTGCTTGATCGAGCGACTGCTAAGTTCCCAAAGCAGTCGCTTCGTCTGCACTTTGAGACGAGAGATAGCGCGACGCCGTTTATGTACATTTTCGCTGAGCCGGTTGCTGAGAAGGACGTCGAGAGGATTCAGGCGACGAATAAGCTGAAGATTGAGGAGTTTGAGAGGGAGGTACTTGGAGTTACTACTTCGAAGTTGACGGAGGAGCAGAAGGAGGCTGAATGGGCGAAACTGAGGGCAAAGGTCGAGGAGGAGATGCAGCAGGATGAGCTTGGTATTGAGAATGCGGAGGAGGCAAAGATGCAGTCTGGGTTGGATGAGTTGGTCATGCAAGAGCAGTATAAGGCGGAGGAATTGCTGGCTACGACTACTTTTGAAGATGGGGAGGAGAATGAGGAAGATGATGAGGAAGATGAGGTGCTGATTGAACAATTGGAAGACGGCGACGAGGAAACTCTTGAAGAGGAAGAGGGGCAAGACGAGGAAATCCTAGAGGAAGACGAGGGTCACGATGAACAAAGCGAAGGGGCTGTAGTTGAAGATGGAGATGAGAATCTGGAAGGCAACGACCTTGACGAGCAGACTATTATTGACGAAACCCTCGCAGATGATGCGGCGGAGTCGGATGAAAGTCTCGAAGAACAGGACCTCGAGGAGCAAGATACAGCAGAAAAAAACCTGTTAGATGATCTCCAAGAGACGGAAGAGTCGGAAAGTTTACAGGAACGGGATGTTGAAGAGCAAACCTTAGCCGAAGAGATCGTAGCTCAAGATCTCGAGGAAGCGGACTGGCTCAAAATCATTGGCGACGAAGAAGAAACTCTTGCCGATGAAGAGAGCAACAGAGCTGACCCAGAGCCACCTAACATCAATAACGACATTGCCAAACTCACAGCAGCAGGAACGTTGAGCGGCTCCACAATTAAAGAGGCTGTAAAAGCAGCATACGCTAAACGCAAAGCCCACCAAGCCAAGAAGAGAGGCAATAAAGCCAAGACAAGCAATAAAGCCAAGAAGACAAGCAATAAAGCCAAGAAGACAAGCAATAAAGCCAGTGAATCCACAGACGGGGAAGCCACCGAGGCCACGAAAAATCCCCTCCTCGCCATGACGCTCGTGATCCGCAACAAGGTCAACAACAAGTACGTCAAGCGCCCGGAATCTCTCGAAGGCCACGAGAAGTGGGACGTCGAGTACGCTTTATCTGAAGTCGAGAAACTCGAGAGCGCGCATAAATTGTACGAGATGACGAAGGCGAGGAGATTTAAAGCATTGACGAAGAGTTTGGATCTGAGTGCCAAGAATGCGTGGAATAATACTTTTATTGAGAGTATTAAGAAGATGAATGAGAAGGGACGCGTGTGGAGGGACAAGCAGGATAAGATTGAGAAGCGGCTGCCCGTTAAGACTTTGGGGGTTAAGGGGGGGAAGGAGATGAGGGCGAAGGATAGGGATGTCTGGCATCAGGGGAAGGAGGAGTGAGCTTCATGTGGATGGGAATTTTCTTTGTGATTGATTGCATAGGGTGGCGGGTGTAAAATAGGTGGCATAATGGGCATTGTGTTATGATTAAAATGGCGATTGGTCAGATTTGGAACAAAGGTGTGTAAAATAAAGAAGTAATGTACAAAAGACTCATCACTCATAATCTGATAATCCTATCGTGTGTATATATGTTCCGTGTAGGTGCCAGCAACGTATTGGGCCTCGCTTAGCAAAGAAATCAAAAAAAAATCATTCAAGATCACTTCTGCACCCTCCGGGAATCTTCTCATAGTCAGAACACAATTCACTTTTACACCTCTCTCTGCTTTCAAGACTCACCGAACCCGGGGCCAGCGCACACACCTCACTATAGAAGAGAGTATGGGAAGCGCTGATTTTACCACTCTATAAGATTGCGTTAGAGGGAGGCACGTTCAAAGTGGAGTTCAATTCTGGACGTACAAACCAAGAGTGCGACGAATAAGAGCATTGCTCCCAAAATTTGTCTTATTTCAATTTATCAAACCTTCAAAGTAAGCAGGCCCCACTTGGAAACGAACTCGGCAATGAGCCAACTCCGATTTTCCATTTGGTGAATGATGTATAAAACAAATCGGTGAAAAACTTGAGGAGATGATTCGAGAATATGTTCCAGATTATTGAACAGAGAAATCTCAGGTATTTTGAATTGAGAGAAAGGTTAATAATTCCGTTTTCTTTGTGGTGCCTCGCAAGCTGCATCAGCCTCGCCAACCAAGATTTCGTTCGCCAGCCAGCCAGCCAGCCTTTTTGTCTTCTTCGCAGCTCTCCTCTCTCCTCCCACCCCATCAGGGCCAGCACCACCAAAATGTCGGCCAAAATCGAAAAGATCATTGTGCGCCTGCAAGAAAAGTATGTTCTCCCAATCCCTTCTGCTCTCCTGCTCCCGGCTCGCAAACTCACATCCTGTTCGCCAGAATCGCTGAAGGCCAATTCTACGAAGCGCAGCAACAAACCCGCGTCGTCGCCGCGCGGTACATCAAATCCAAGACCTGGGACGCCGCCATCGACATCCTGTTCTCGGTCTCGCAATCCCTTCTCAAAGCAGGCCAAGGCGGCTCCGGAGGCGATTTGGGCATCTTCCTGATCGATGTGTATAAGCAGGCGGAGCTGAGGCCTGATGCGGGGAATAAGGGGAAGCTGTTGGTGTTGCTCAGGTTGTTTGATCCGGAGGAGCCAACGAGGAAGACGTTTGTTGGGGAGATGATTGGGTATGTATTCTCTTTTTTCTGCGGTTAAGTGAGGGGTAGGGGAGCGACTGGGCTAATTGAATGGATGTAGATGGTCTTCCAAATGCGGCGATTACCCTGCTGGTGAGCCGGAATTGCATCATGTAGCCGGATCTCTGTATGCAGAAGAGCACGATGCGTATGAGGCTGAACGACACCTCACGCTTGGAACGAAGGACTCTCCAGATGTCTTCGCGAAGCTGGAATATGAATGGTACACCCAGGACGATTCTCACACCGCGGCGTTATATGCCGCGAGAGCGGTGTTCCCGTACCTACTTGTGGGCAATGTGAGGGATGCGAGGAAGTCGCTGAGGTTGTTTACCAGTCGATTGACGGAGGCGAATACGGGGCTGGCCGTGCAGGATGTGAGCAGCACGGCTTCGGATATCAAGATCTATCCTAGCTTGCCGTTGCTCAATTTCTTGGGCTTGCTATTGCTGGCTGTGCAGAAGGGCACTGCAGATCTGTTTAGGCAGTTGAATAAGAAGTATGCGGAGCATATCAAGGAAGTAGGGATCTGGGACGAGGCATTGACCTCCGTGGGTGAGATGTACTTTGGGATTCAGAGACCGAGACAAGGGAATCCGCTGCTGGATATGATGGGAAGTATGTTTGGCGGTGGAATGGGGGGTGCTCCTGCAAAGCAACAGCCAAAACGTGTGGGTACTTCAGCTCCAGCTGCTGAAGGTCTAGACTAGACTGTATTCTACCTATGCTACGCTTTCCAAGCAACCTGTTTCGTAACGCCTGGGTATCTTATGCCGCAAAAATCAAAAGTATGGAGTGCTATCGAACAATCTGCTCCTCTTCTGCTTCGTACATCCAGTTGTCTTCTGCTAACCCCGCCACCTTCGCACGCATACTGGCTCGTACGGCTTCGAGGAGTTCTACCAAGATCAGCACTCAAATACCAAGGCAGATGTGAATTGTCCCACCAGCAGGCTCACTAGGAGCTCGATTCCTATCCCTCTGATGAAGCTTCACCGCATCTGCCAACCTCTGTCTCTCCTCTGTGCCAAATCAGCATAATCCTTTCCCTTCCCTTCCTCAGAGATAATACATACTCTCATCCTCCTGCGCATCCCCGTTCCCTCCCTCCTCCTGCTCATCAAACGACTGCATCGGCGGATCCCCAATCTCGAACTCCCCATTCTTATCCCGTATCACGATATCTGAGGTGTCGGACTCGGGCTCTACGTCCAGCCGCAGCGTTTCGGCAGATGTGGAGGTCGAGGAGGTCGTGGGGCGCCGGCTGAGGTGTTGGTGGAAGAGGTTGCGGCGCACGTTGTTGGTGGAGCGGTTGCTTGAGTTGCTGGTTGTTGCTTGGTGTCGGCGTTCTGGCATTTTGGTTTGTGTATTTGAGCGAGTGTAGGGGTGAAGGGGAAAACAATGTTAGGTTATGGTGAGGTTTGTTGATGTTGTTGGCAAGGCTTGACGAGGCTCGCTTGGAGATTGTGGGGTAGGAAATCCCTTTGAACCTCATCTTTCCATCCTTCTTCTACATCCTTCACATCGGCTTGATTCTTCAAGATGGGAATGAAGAGCTTTCGAGATGAGTAGCACTTTCGATATTCAGCCTATTGGCCGATTTGTTGGCCAGAGCGCTGTCATAAAAAGACCTAAGGTGAGTGCAAAGCCCTTTTCCCTGCATTGCATCGCTTCGCTAGTGTCGTTGTGTCCTCTTTCGATTGCCAATACATTTCATTTTTGCGCCTTGGCTATTACTAGTTTCATTGAAGAGCTCTCAAAGAAATATTTCCCCGTCCTTTTATTCACACAGTTGCAGGAAATAGCATGTTTCTCATATGGCGACAAACACCAGTTTAGACTGGACGGCTCGTCAATCAGATACTACTGGCCTCCAACTTTAGGAGCTGATCTTGCACGAGGTTTTGATACCTTTGAGAAGCTTGATGATAAGGCAGATGATCATCTTGATAGTTTGCTAAAGACGATCATTGCCCATGAGCAAGGGCTGGGGAAGGCCGTTGAGGCGGACCTCATCACTTGGAGAGGAATGATGACCAAGGTGAGCTTCGATCTTTAGTCAGGAGAGGATCTTTACAGAGAGAATGCTAAGACAAATTAGTTCATGGCGGCAATTTTCAGTGACCGAGATGGGTAATGCCCCTGGAGCTCGGCAAAGAATAAAGTCGCTGACTTTAATTCAAAGCTTCGAAATGAACGCCACGCTTTTCCAAGTGGGCACACCTTGAATTGTATTTTTAGGCTAAGCTGACCAATGATATGTGAAGGACACCATGTATGCTCCAATAGTCATCTCAAGTGCAACTACTAAGTCAAACAGCTTCCTCGAAGAGAATCACTCATACAAACTTAATTCTCAAGCAAAACAATCTCAACAAGTTTCGCAACCTGGAAGGCCATCACAGGATATGATGTCGTTTTGGGGCAAGTAATATCACGATTATCGAGAATAAATGGTAACTAACTGAGGTAGGATATAAATTCGAGACATTGTGCTTGTTGCCGTCCATTTGGGCGGAGACATCACGAGATTACATCGAAAATCGAGAGAACGAAATTGTCAACAATCACGCTCAATATTGTTCTGTCGTGAAAACTGGCATTGGCAATACGGTGATGATTCTCGGTGGTGAAGTCGATGCAGGCAAGTTTCAACCTCTCCATCGTGTATGACACTGACAGCTACAAGTATGGGATTCAAAGCCGACCGATGGTAGCCCCATCAACTGGGTCGAATTGAAGACGAGCGCCGATATCCGAAATGATAGGGACATGATCACTTTCGAGCGTAAACTCATGAAATTCTGGATACAATCATTTCTCCTTGGGGTTCCCAAAATCATTGTCGGATTTCGGACGCCGGATGGGATCTTGAAGAGAGTCGAGGAGATGGACACGGCTTCGATACCTGGGACAGTGAAGAGGCGTGGGAAAGGAACTTGGGATGGCAATATGTGTATCAATTTTGCATCGGCGTTACTCGATTGTAAGCCTGGTTTGCATGGTGTGGGGTTTAGCTAACAGAAGTAGTCTTAAAAGTTACGATCACTGACGATGGAGTTTGGAGGATTCGAAGGAAAGAGAAGACTTCCACTATCGAGGTGTTCCAGGTTGAAGAAACGGGACATGGAGATATTCTCTCTGATGAGTTCATCAACTGGAGGATAAAGCTTGCGTTGAATCGAAAGCCACCTGAGACGACGGCAGGGACTGAGAAACTCCCACCTATGGACACGAATCTAGCAGAAGCTCCAGTATAGGGAGAAACCGATTCTTATGATAGGTCGACATCAAGTACTACTGTAGAAATATTGTACCACCTCCGATGGGTACTTTGGCTCATGGGTCACGTGTGATATTAATGGGAGACTCGCTTCCCTGATCTCAACAGTGAATGTCGATCTGTTGCAAATAAAGTCAATCCGGGGCGAGAAGTATTCGGGTTCTCCAACTGGTCAAAGCACCGGGAGAATAGTTGATTGGCTCCGTATATTTGCCAAATCGGAATGCAACTCGCTCTGAGACAGGACCGCTGACCGCCTACGATAATCCAACAGCCACAAGTTGGGTCCTCAACCAAAAATATACGGCGCTATAAACTAGAAGATACCCGCACATGAGTTCCGAGGTAGTTTGAAAGTTGCATGCCTCACAAGCCCAAGTTTTCGGCTTCAATTGGTTTGTCACACAAGCACCTTCCTAACCTCGCTTCGTTACTGCGTCAATTTGTCAATATCGTTGTCGATGAGCCGAGGCTTCCTTGAAAAAAGTGCACAACCCTCAACAAATCAATGGGGAAGATATCAAGTCTGTCAAGCCGCCAGCTTCTCAGACCCTCATGGAAATCGACAACCCTTCATAATTCCCATCGATTCTCGTCCGCTCTCGCCGTCAAGATGGCCCCAATACCAGAGCCGTTCAATCCCGGTCTTCCCCAGAACACTCCGGGGCTCCCTCCGTGAGTCACCCTTGCTTGAGCCGTCGCATCCACTCCTGACTGCCAAAATAGCAAAGTGCCGGACACCTCGTATCCCATCGAAGTCAGAAAGAAGCTCGGAATCTACGGTCTCACGCCTCCCAATGTTGAGAGTCACGCTCTCCAAAGCCAACGGTGCATGAAGCAATTGGCATCAAAAACCACCCCTATCGAGAAATACATCTATCTCAGCAACTTGAGAAATACCAATACCCACCTCTTCTACCGGCTTGTGCTTGAGAACTTCACTGTATGGATTTTGTTCTTTGCTGGGCACGTGACCAAAACTAACGGTTTTCTGCAGACGATCGCTCCCTTGATTTATACCCCTGTTGTTGGTGAAGCATGCTTGAAGTGGTCTGAGATATATCAGCGACCAGAGGGTATGTTCATCGACCCTCAAATTGAGGAGAGGGTATCTCCTGTCAGAGGACCCCCCACTCTTCCTGAGCTGTCCATTGTGAAAGTGGGAGCTGACTTCGACAGGACTCTATGTCTCGTACAAGGACCGAGGTTCAATCATTGATGTTTTAAGGAATTGGCCTCAACCTAATGTGGAGATCACCGTTGTTACCGATGGCAGTCGTATTCTTGGACTTGGTGACCTTGGTGTCAATGGGATGGGGATTCCTGTTGGAAAGCTGGCACTTTACACAGGCTGTGCTGGTATTCGACCCGAAGCTACCTTACCGTTGACATTGGATCTTGGAACGAACAATGAATTGCTGTTGAAGGACCCCCTCTATATGGGCGCCAAGATGAGAAAAGTTTCAGAGAAGGAAGAGATAGAATTCCTAGACGAATTGATGGTTGCACTGAACACAGTATGGCCTGGGTTAGTAACTACCACGAACGCTTTCGAGATGCGAGCTAATATAATGAAGTATTGTCGTTCAATTTGAGGACTTCAAGAATCCCTTCCCAGCACTTGAGAAGTACCAACATCAATACACTTGCTTCAATGACGATATTCAAGGAACTGGAGCTGTCATATTGGGAGGTATCATCAACGCATTGAAGAGCACTGGAAGACCTATCAGGGATCACCGCGCTGTATTCATGGGCGCAGGAAGTGCTGGTGTCGGTGTTGCCAAGCAAATTGTTGAGTATTTCATCAAGGAAGGTCTGACTGAAGATGAGGCCCGCCGATGCTTCTGGTTTGTTGATACTAAGGTACGTTCCTAATTTGGACAACCCAGGGCATATACTGATCTACACCTAGGGTCTTATCACCAATGACAGAGGAGACAAGCTTGCCCAACACAAGATATACTTCTCTCGGGACGACAACAAGGGACAGCAGTTCAAGTCGTTGCCAGAGGTTGTTGAATATGTCAAACCAACGATTTTGATGGGACTGTCAACAATGCGAGGCATCTTTGACAAATCAATTCTCCAAAAGATGGCTAAGCTCAACGAACGTCCAATTATCTTCCCCTTGTCGAATCCTTCCAGCAATGCTGAATGCACGTTCGAGGAGGCTATGAAGCATACTGATGGCAAGGCCATTTTTGCGAGTGGAAGTCCTTTCCCACCCTATCTTCATAATGACCAAGTGATGCAACCAAGTCAGGGAAAGTGAGTTATTCCGTGGTATCCTGAAAATAGTGTGAACCTTGTTACTGATCTCAATAGCAACATGTACGTCTTCCCTGGAATTGGCCTCGGCGCAATTCTTTGCAAGGCGATCCATATTACTCAAGAGATGGTATGCTCCCTTTGGCAACCACCTTTCCAAGTCCAAATACTAATAGACATCAGATCTACACCTCCGCCGTCGCTCTCAGCACGGCTATTAACACGAACGAGATCAACGCGGGCAGACTCTACCCCGAACTTGACCGAATTCGGGAAGTCAGCGTAATCGTCGCACGGGAAGTAATCCGCGAAGCTCAACGACAAGGTGTTGATCGCGAGAAGTCTATTCGCAACCTTAGTGACTCCCAGCTTGACGTCTTCATTCGGAGCAGGATGTATGATCCCACAAAAGAGTCCGGACTCGAAGAAATCGACACGCCAAAATTCCGAAGCTCATCCTCAAAACTTCGTGTTCCCGGTTCTCCTTCAAAGCTGTAGATGCACTGGGACCGGGTGTTAATTTGCTTGATTCTGCGGGTACGTTATGCGGATACACAAAATTCAAAGTGGCTGGGGGGTTTAGAAATTGCTTGATGATTAATTTCATTCGTCTAAATAATAATGGCGTAGCTAGTCAGCTGGGTATAATGCCAAATTTGTCTCTTCTTGACACCCGAAGCCGGTGAGGTGTCTAAATTTCATTAAGACACTCCTTTCCGACAATCGAGTCACCCGATCCTTCTACATCCTTCTCTTCTTCTTCAACCTTCCACTTCCATCTCCCAGTGTTGATCCCCTCCCTGTGCTCCTCACAAGCCACCGGCAACGCCAACCTCACCCTCATATCCCTATCTTCAAACAACTCCTCTACCTTCTCCCTTGTACACTCCTCATCCACCCCGTCAGCAACATACTCCCCTTCCTTCCCCACCTGCTCAATTTTCACCTGCTTGATGCAGAACGCCTCCCCGTTTCTCTTACACCGCACACAACACTTCTCATCAGGCCCCGCATGAGATGTATGTAAACGCATGCGAGTAGGCAAGACGTGAGAAGCGGTCGTGAAAGAACATTTCAGACCGCGGAGGTGGCATTGCAAACATGGATTTAGTTTTGGGAGGAAGGGGAAGATGGTTGATGGTGGGGGGAAGGAACTTGTGGGTGCTTGGAGGTTTGTGATTGAGGAGAGGGAGGTTGGAGGTGTTGTTTTGGTCTTGGTAGTGCGTGAGGAGGAAGGCGTGGGTGGATGGGAGAAGGAGAGGAGTGGGATGAATGGGATGATTAGGGTTAGTTTTGGGCGGCGGGTGCTGGGGATTATGAGGCTAAGTTTCTGGCGGCGTGTGTTGGTGGTTGTTTGTGCCATCGTTGGAAATTTGGATGGTGCTATGTGGAACGTGCGTGTTGGGTATGAGTGGACTGCTTGGCTTTGGAATGATGTCGAGAAAGAGCAGAGGTTCCTTGGGCATGTTGATACAAGGAGATGACAGATCAACCATTGTTCAGAACAATGCTGGATGTTTCGAGGAACAAGGAGAATGTAGCGGTGGGAAAGGCCTTGTCATTCCTAAAGTGTGAACAAGTCTAGTGCACCAGGTGTGTGTGCCTCAACTTGAGAACAAAGGGTTCTGCGTAAATCAAATCGATGAAGCTCTGTGCAGGTTCGGGGATTGTTCAGTACCATAATATAAGGCAAGCGCGATAGAGAAGCATTCATTCTCAATTTACATCTTGAGAAAAGGTAGGTCTTGAATTGGCTTCCTTCATTGGGTCTGCACGCCACAGGGAACCATATCAAAGTAGACAGATGTAGTTCGCAAATTAGAATGAATGTAGGAGGCCGTCTCGTGAAACTTTAAACTTCGACCAGCTCCCTATCCATCGGAGCTTCACATCTTCGTCTTCGTCTAGCAACTTCCCCTAGCCATCAGCCCGGCAAATCATCCTCTAAACTCGGTCTCTCTCATTTTCCAAATCAACAATGCCAACAACATTGGCATTTTGGTCAAGCTCAAGCTTTCTCTTTGCAACAGAAGCCTTCACCGGGTTCTTGGCTCTGAAAATATCGTCAAGTTCCTCAAGCTGCACCCTCAGTCAGTATATGTTCGATCTCGGAGACAATATTTTGACTTACAGTGCGGTTCTTGGTCTCGGGCATGAGTAGATAGATGATACCAGCCTGGATGAAACACCAGACCAAGAAGACAGCATAGGTCTTCCACTTGATGTTATCCAGAGCGACTGGGAAGCCGAATTGGTTGACGAGAGTACCTAGGCGTATCAATATTATGCATATATCACCAAAATTTACTGGGCATCTTACCAGCAGTCACGAACATTCCTGAGAATGCCATTCCCTTGGCACGCATTTCGAATGACAGAACCTCAACTGGGTAAAGTGCTTGCAAAGGAGTCCAACCGAAAGAGTATATACTCTGGAAGAGATAGATCATGGCAACGGTAACACCACTAGATACTTTTGAGCCGGTGGAGGCCTGAACACCAGAAGCAGCAGTTACACCGATCCAGCAAACGGCACAGCCGACGTTGACCCAAATGAGCATGGGGCGACGTCCGATGGTGTCAACGAACATGCTTCCAGTTGCAGCGAAGATAATCTGGACAGCGTTCATGGCAACGAAGAGATGACCCCTAGTGGTAGCATCTTTGATGCCTGCAGTCTCCAGGACACCTGCAAGGAAGTACGAAACAACACCTTGTATGTGTCAGTATTTGTTAGGTAGGCGTGACATGCAAAGGAGGGGTGCTGTTCTGGAACGTACCATTGCCAGCCCATTGACCGAAGAGAGAAGTGAGACAGTTGGCCATAAGGCGGTACCTGGACGGTCCATCGCGGAAAAGCGCACGATAATCCCACCAGCGTTTGTCTGCACCGTCTAACTCCAGATGGGCTTCGTATTCCCACATCTGGAGCTTGACCCATTCACTCTCTGGGTTTCCATTGCCGTGGTATTTTGTTAAGAAGTCCTTGGCTTGCTCCATCTTTCCATTTGTATAGAGCCAGCGAGGAGATTCGGGAAGGAGCCAGACGAAGATGAAAACGAGGCCAGGGAACATCATTTGGAGCCAAATTGGAAGGGTCCATGAGATGCTTCCAGCATGGTTGAGAACGCCGCTGGCTGCTCCACTGGCAACGATGGCACCCACAGGCCAGAAAACATTGTAGAGTGCGGTCACAGTACCACGGTACGCTGGATGAGAGATTTCGACGACATAGCAAGGACCTGCAGAGGACACAAGCTGGACACCCAATCCCATGAAGAAGCGGCCACCCATGAACTGGTTAACGCTGTGGGTGTGAACGCAAGTCCCCTGAATAATAACTCCAATGATGATGACAGCGGCTCCAATGAACATGCCAAACCTTCTCCCCCTGTGTTGCAAATTAGCATAATAAACCTTAAAAGTCAAAAAGGGCCGTGAGCCTCGGAGTCAGCTTGCTCCAACACCACAGAAATAAACGAGTGATGACACCTCCGAGGCGGTGCTCGGCATCTCACCTCTCATCGAGCAAGAAAGCAATTTAGTGTCAAAATAAGCTTACCAGGTGTCGAGCGCGGGCCCCACGAACGGGATAGCTACAACTGAACCAATTTGTGACATTGAACTGACGATACCGGCTTTGATTCCAACACTTCCGACCTCGAAAAACGCCAGGAACTGGTCGTTATTGAGGAGGTTACCGAACATAGAGGAGTCGAAGCCGTTAGATGTAGAGCAGAAGAATCCAATTGCTGAGCACCCATAGAGTACAAATGCAATGGCATTCCACCTGGAAGCTCGGAGTCAGCATTGCTCATATGGAGAAGTTCGGGGTTTGAAATAGTGTTCTACAATTCCTTTACTCTGACCACATGTCCAGAGAGTAGAAGAACAGCTCGCGAGAAATTTGGCAAGGGAAATGTCTGCTGAGAGAAATACACTTACGGGATGGGTGGCTCCTTGATCATCGCCTGGTTAAAAGCCTCATCTCCAAGGACGACCTTCGTGTCGATAATTGTAGGCTTCTCGAGAGTGTCGACATTCTCGATAGCACCGCCAACCTGCTTCTCGGAGACGTCTGCCATCTTGCCCAACTGAGGAGCAGATAACTTACGAGACGGAATGAAGAAAAGAGGAACAATGTCCTTCTGGAAAGAAAGATGTGGTTGATAAAACTAACTGTATTCTAGAGGGACATGGTCTCCTTAATATACATGAGCGCGTTTGTCTCGTGCACCCTGGCCAGAGGCAATCGATATCCCGAACAACACATAATCCTGGTTGAAGTGCAGATGAACGTTAGACGACGGCTACAATTCCTAAACCATGAAATGATTGGAAGTCGCATCTCTTGTGTTTCGGACCACTTCGACCTATCCCGGGGTGAAATCTGGGGAGGGAAAAACTTTCTGGGCAGGCAAAGCGCGGAAGATGGCCCTCCGCTTCCCTTTTGGGTTATCAAAGCGAGGTTCAGGGGGGGATGAGCGGCTCGATCCTCACTGTTGATCTTCGAAATCCAACTTGGCTCTGACGAGCTGTGCACTAGAAGACATGGTAACACTGCGACCCGCGCCGCATGTGGAAGCGATCATGCTGTGACTGGGTGCTGGGGGCCCAATTATGGCTCCAGCATCTTCTGTGTTCCCGCGCTTGGCCCGAAAGGGACATACGAGGAAAGCACGAGATCTGCTGTCGTCTGTTCTTTGTGGGGAACTGCTGAGGCGCACTAGCATACGGCGGGGAAGCCCCTTGATGCAGCTCGTGAGAGCAAAGTAGGAGTAGACTACTAGACGAGCAAGCCCAGCTCCGAATCGAACGTTGACACCAAGATATTCCCCACCGCCACAGATCTGATCGTTTGCTGGACCGGTGGCACAGGATGCACGGGCCGGTTGCTACCAAAAGGCGAAAACGGGTCTCAGTCTTCTGGGAGACAGCGGGAGGTGATTGGTGGAGAAAACGTCAGGAACAACTTTGCTCGAATTGAGGGGAAGAACTCCACTCGATAGTTCATGGTTTGGCCTGGGAAAAGAATTGATGTCGACCCCGTCGACAAGTCGTGGGTTCCCTGAACGCACGCCGCATGCCGTGCATGGATGTTTGCATGGAAGGGGTGGTAGATTCTAGGGCCCGGCTGGCTTATTAAATGATTAGTTCTAGCCACTGTTCCCGAATGAGAATCTTCAATCAAGATGGCACCGGCTCTTGAGACGATCTCTCGGCATCGGCTTATCACGTTTCGCATTTGATCGATAGATATCGAGTCGGATGTGAGACCAGTCAGAGAAAGTTGGGTTGACTCGCGGAAGATCTCGAAGTGTCGCGACTCGCAACCTGGGATAGAGCTTGCTGCATCAGGATTCAGGATTGCAGGCTTGATGAACCGGGCCGGGACTATTATTAGCATTATCACGTGCACCTCAAAAACGCTTGTTCCGGGCTTGCGCTCCTAGGGCCCGAGGGGCTGGGAAATGTGATTCTGCAATCTGCATGTTCTATGGGGTCCCTTGCGGTGCGGATTTTCCCTGTTGGCTGTCTGGCGCCCCCGAGACGCTCGGCTTGGCGGGGAGCATGCCGACCGTCATTTCACAGGTGCAACTGACGAGTTGCGTTGGCTTGCTCGGACAAGGTCACTTAAAAGGGTGGCAAACGTTTTATTTCAGCAAAGTGCTGCAAGTGGGTGTCTTTTAGATCGGAAACCAACAGATCCCCTTGAAGTCTCCTTCCAAATAAACGGCCCCTTGGCACTCAAGCCGCTGGCACGGAGCTTCTGATTGCCAACCCTGCCAAGTTGCTGCTCTTCATTTCTCGTTTCTTTTTCTCGACGGCATCTTTTAGAGCTTTTGCCGTACTGTATCGTGGCATCGCCTTTGCGACGCCATCTCGTATGCTTCTCTCTTCTGCATCTTCTGACTCTCGTCTCGACCTCTTGCGCTTCCCGATTCCGCCACTTCCTTCCCTGGTTTCTGCTTCTCTTGCTTCAGCTGGAGGTGATAGCGCCTCCAGGGGATCACTGATGTCGAATCCAAACTCCCTCTCATTGTGGGGTACGAAGGGAGTCGTTGGCACGAGGCATATTTCATCGAGGTCTGATTCTTCTTGACTTGCAACTTTTGACGAACGAAAGGTCCCGAACAAATCGATCCCCTTCACAGTTTCTATGTTCACGACGTCTCGCATCTGGGTTGTGGGGTTAGCAACCCGCGTTTTGTGCTGATTCTGTTCCGTCACCAGAAATGGCGAGCCCGACTCGTTCAACGAATCCAGAATCACTTTTCTTTTCGAGGCCATTTTCGGTTGGAGATGGCGGTCGAGACCAAAGTAAGGGGAAGGGGTGATGTCTGCAACCTTTCTTCGAGATTTGGATGCGGAGGCAACGATCTGGTCTTCTTGGCTGGCCCTGACTCTACCGGAAAGATTCTCGATCATCTCATCGTCGTCGCGTTTCCTCCAGAACCTGATGATCTTCTCGTATCGTTCCTCAAGCAGCGCTGCTTCCGATAAGGGCTTTTTGAACCATGAATGATCGAGTGCTTCGGTAGCAGTCAATCGCTTGTCTGGATTGAGTACCAAAAGTCCATGAAGGAAACTCATAGCTCGTGGCGGCAGCTTCTGCCAGTGAGCCGCGGTGTCAGGATCCATCCCAAATATGCGATCGACGATCTGGACCTGACTCAGTTGTGGTAGCTCTTCACGTGGAACCGCGGAACTGCCAGTGAGTAATGTAGCTGTCAAGATCCCGAGCGACCATAGATCTGCAGCCTTGGTGTAACCTTTCTCTGCATCGGTACAGTCGACTTCCCTACAAAAGATCAGACATGGCCGCGAAGCAGCAAATTGATAACTTACGGTGCAATGAATCCTATTGTCCCGACTTTGGACAACAGCCTGCCAGTCTGTTGGTGGAGGTAATTTGCAAAACCAAAATCGGTCAAGACTACACGGCCACCAAAGTCTGTTTGCATGACGAGTACATTCTCTGGCTTAATATCTCTGTGAGCAATAGATTTCGAATGCATATATTGTATGGCGAGGACAATTTGGCGAGCAATGACACGGCTATGCCAATCGTTCAGTTGGCCGCCATGAAAATCTATGTATGAAAAGAGATCTCCACCAGGCGCAAGTTCTGTGAGCATGTATCTAACGATAGATTAGATCAAATTCTGGGTCAATCATGTTTAAATTACTCACAGAGCACCACTTGAGACGAATGCTTTCTTGAGATTGACGATGTGAGGCTGAGGTGTGTCAGTGTTGCTCGAAGATGGGGTTTGGCCGCTTACATGGCTGAGCTTCGAGAGAATTTTGATTTCACGCATGACAAGCTCCCTGCCACGGGCAACACGACGAACTCGCTCATTCCACGCTTCGCCAACTATCTCGGATACCGAGTCTTCGGTGAGTCTATGAGCAGCTACATCCAAGTCGACAATCTTACATGCCATTTGCCTTGATGTTAAAACGTCCTTGGCTAGATATACTGCGCCATAAGAGCCTTGACCAAGAACACGGTCGGAGACTTCGAAACGATCCTTGAAATACTAGGAGTTTTCAGCAAGGTAATTTCAGGGAAAAGGAACCAATACAACCTCAAGATCATCGAATTGCTTTTTGGTTCGAAATTCGGGCTGGTGGATTGGTTGGTGGAATCGAAAGCGTGTTTTTGGCTTGATCTCAATGATATCTCCATCGCTGAGGAGATGGCCGATTCTTTCTCGACAAATCATTCCGATGCATAAATCGTTGATATAAGTGCCATTGGTGGACTCCAGATCTTCGCAATAGATCAGAGGTGGGAAGTCATGGAGCTTGTCCTTCTCATAGATGATCGAATAGATTCGGAAATGCTGCTTGGAGACGGTATCATCTCTGAGAATGTAAGGACTGTCTTTCGTTTAGTAGCTTGCAATTTGATTTCCATCAGAAGGTGTACCACTTCTGTCCGTCTCTACCAATTCGAACTTCTTTTCCAGGATAAATCGGAATTTCTATGCGCAACCATTAGGAGGTGAAAGGAACAATGAAAACGGCACTGACCGATTGTCTTTCCAGGCCTAACCAGGAGCTCAAGCATCCCGATGGAATCAACATAATCCTCCTCATCAAAGTCATCCGGCTTAGACACCTGTTCATCGTATTCCTCATTCATGGCTGCAAGTATTAAAAGAGAGTTAGTTAAACGTGTTAGTGAGATGACAGAGAATAGGCGTATAGCATGTATTCCTGTGGGTACTGGACACCCAATTGATCTTGTTTGATCGATCACACGCCTCTGGCGATGGTGATGTGCCAAGTTGAGCCCGAAGAACGTGGATGGTCCAAGTCGAAGTCGAAGTCACGACCAGAAGCCCTCGCTAAAACTAGCTCGCACTAATTACGTAAGCACACACTCGGCACGGGAATTTTGACTTAATTGAGGGAGTTGCCTTCTTTCTTCCACCTCATCACAGAAACACTCAAACTCGAAAAGTATGTTCTCCAACCTCCCAATCGATTCTCATCGTGTCTTTAAGCCTGTCAATACTCCGAAGATACCATGGAGAATTCTCTGCGTCCAGTCGAACTCGTGGGAAAGCGAGGGAGACTGGTCACGAATGGTAGACTGGAATGCTAACTGGTTCTCTCCTACAGCCCCAAGTTATCGACGATGAGAGCAAAGTGGAGAAAGAAGCGGGTTCGCCGCCTCAAGAGAAAGCGCCGCAAGACTCGTGCGAGATCGTAAGCCATTCCCCCTCGCTGTTCAGCTTACGGCAATTCTGATCCCCATCACAGCAAGTAAACAACTCACAACGACCCGATCTCGATCACTCTTACCTCGCGAGCTGTAACATCATGACAACATAACCTCCGGGTTTACGCCATCTCCCGCATCAACGTCTCCGCCTTTTTCAGCATTCCAGATCACACGCATAGTTTGGGACTACCATTCAGTACAATGGCAGCTGGGTGTTCAAGGATAGAACAGTTTGATGACGCGCATTCTTTGGCATTTGATGGATGGATTGCAAGGAAGCAGAATCGGTCATACACACTGTCGGATTGTAAATTGAGGGTTTGCGAATAAGGAAGCGATAGGAAGAAGGCTGCCTCAGATGCTAGACGCTATCGACTTCAGTTGCAGAATCAGAAAAGAAGTGAAACTTCATGAAAAACATTCCTCTCCTTTGCCGTGATCATAATGAATTGACTGCTGTCATATTGCACAAGTGCGAATCATGACACGAGCCGCTGCCCGTCTCCCAGTGTATTGCTATCTATGAAATTCAGAGCCAAAGCTAGGTGTGCTTCCCAGTATGAATTATGAGAGCTCTCCGTAGTCCATATAAACTGATATCTAGCTCTCAGACTCAACATTCGCTGTGTGGTCTCTGAAACTGAGCTTTTGACCCCCGCATTTGGAGGGTCAGTAGCGAGGGTCGGCGAAAAAAAAAGGTTGGTTCCGACATTATCTCCATCCTCGACATTGAGCTCTGTAGTTACAACCTTCCAAGGCACAGAAGATGGCAGACCGATCAGAGAAAGAGAAGAAGCGTAAGAGGGAAAAGGATGGATCCTCCAGACTAAGCAAAAGGGTTGCAATTGAAGGGGACAAGCAGATCAAGATTTCTCTTCTCAAATCCGACGAATGGGCCCCCGTCATAGGTATGCTTAAAGCAAAGACTCCAATTAGCAATATTTTGCTATGCAAGGACTGACACCTACTAGCTTCGACTCCGGGTCTCACAGTTCCTTCTTCGATTTCGTTAGAGCCCTTCGTCAAGCAGCGAAGAAATACCCACCTTCAACGCCTCGGAAAAAGCAGCGAAATTGCAGCCACAGAGCTTCTCCTGCACTCCTCCGAACACCCGAAGTTAGACTATACAGCACGCGAAGAAGAAAGCGGCGGCTCAAACACTCTATTGAAGCACTATATTGGAGTCTACGATCCCGAATCAGGGAAGATGGAGGTTATGGAAGCACGAAAAGTGATAGTTCGTGGCGTTGTTAGAGCACATCAAGCTACAACAGAAGACGAAGTAGCAGTGGTAAGTGCACAAAACAATCCAAACTACAGGTTTGTAACTGACGCTCTTTACAGGAATTCAGAGACCGCAGGAACGACCTTGGACAGACATTCGGTACGAAGAAAGCAAAGAAGGCCATTGCATCAGTCACAGAGAACGCCATCGATCAGAGCGAGTTCTCCAGAGACCCTTCCAAGGCATCTAAACCGGAGAAACTTACCGCTGCGAATCTCGCTATGCTCAGTAGCATTGCAGAGAGTGCTGCAAATGCACCAACAAAAGAGGAGCAAGCGCAAGCGATGAACCATGCCAAACCACGACCGAAAGGCGTTGAAGGAGAAAGGGACCCTCTCAAAATTTATACTGTGGAGAATGTAGTTGGTTTGGATACTATGAAGCTGATCCCTGTCAGGCAATGGGTGGAGAGTATCAAAGCAAAGAAGGAAGTTCGAACGAATTCCAGATTCGTGGCCCACCGGATGCTGAATCATGGTTCCAATACCGAAAAGCTTAAGGTCCTTCGATACATGCTTCTACTTATCGATATCTACAATACTTGTAGACCTAGCAGGTTTGGGCGAACATTACCGAAGCGAGAAGATTTGAAGAAGATTCTGGGCGATATGCCGGAGGCGGTACTGGAGGGTGTGAAGAGGAAGTTCACGAATGCTGGAACAATGCCCAAGCAGATGGCTGACTCGCTGATCATGTACTTGTGTGCATTGGCTATGATAATCGACAATACCGAAGTTAATATGTGGGATCTGAAAGAGGATCTGAAGCTGGAGACGAAGGAGATGGCACTGTACTTCACAGAGATCGGAGCGAAGATAGGGCCTCTGGGTGAGGCTGAGCGGAGGAAATTGGGCTTGGAGAAGGCTGCTGCTGCCCAACATAAAGTTGCGAAGCTGAAGGGGCCGCTTTCGTATCCCAGGGTGTCAGGGGGTCGGCCTCAAAAGATGCGGTAGTTTGGATGTGTCTAGGGATATTTCAATTCTGATGTCTTTAAGCAAATTGACCATTTTGATGACGGTAGAAGGCCGGTCAGTATCTTGTTCGATAACGACATGAAGTGGATTGAAACTTCTATGGGCCAGCTTCTGAAGTCTCGCTGTCTTCTTCATCAAGATCAAGAAATTTCGAGGCCGTCACGTGCTTCTCGAGTCCCTCTCGCAATAGACAGAAACGCAGCATTGAGTTGTGAATGTTCCAAGTTAACTTGGACGATTTCAAATGCCTCGCCTCCGAAAGCTCCTTCGGGTTAGTATATTCAAAGTCCACCGCCTCTTACTATTTATAAAGCTCTGGAACATTTATAAATCGGTCCCTTCCATTATCCAGCTTAACTAAGGACATTCATAATTATTACTACCTTTTCTATCCCCGATAAGCCCCTGAAGCGATGTCTCACTCAGCCACCCATTTTCGATTGACACCCATCGCCAACATACGATACAACTTTGGCCGAAACACCACATCACTGAGCAGCCAGCCTCATCCCCTGGGTGGAAGGCCTCGCTTTGTACAACCCCAACATGGCCAGGCTCTTTTTGCCTGGCCGCCTGCTAGACTTTGGCTTGTGTTAGGTCTGCATTAGCAGCACATGCTGCTGCAGCATGACCACGGTCAATCTCTATAAATTTCTCTCATTGTTTGTGATTGTGATTGCCTCCGTTAAAAGCCTAATACCAGTACCTCTTTTGTCTCTTGTTGCTTGTATATTTTGCTTTTGCAATCTTCTTTGGAGTTTATGTTGTTCTTCTGGCCAGAAGGCATGACCAGGTGTGACACCAACTGCTCTCTTCCCGAGACAGTGGTGAACTGTGTTTCGCAACCCAATGCCCTCAGAACCCTTGATATTCTCTGGTCTTGTCTTGCAACTATAATCCTCTGTACCTGGTCGGTATAACACCCAAATGTGCCTGGACTTCGGATCGCGGACAACAAGAAGTCGAGATTTGGAGACATCACCACACAGATCCGGTTGATAGCGTTCACATTGCTGGCTCCGGAGTTCCCCTTGCTGTAAGCAGCTGCGGAATTGAACAGCGCTTTATCCACAACCAAGAAACTTGGCGCACGAGCGAAGAGTGATGAAGTGTCATGGAGCACGGTACATTCGTTCTTCGCGAATATGGGTGGCTTTGTGATACACTTCAAGCACGATACTCCGATTCCCACTCCAGCCGTACCAGTACCGGGACCTAAAATACGAATCTCTGCTCTAGATTCTATGACACTCAACTTAACAGCTTGTAAAGTAGATACTTATACCGCAAACACTGCTACTAGCCGCGAGAGAAACACATTTTCAAAAATCAATGCAAGGCCCCAACTCTACTGTCTACGGGATGCGCGACTGTCGAGGAAGAAGAAGAGATCAAAATGTATGCATTTTGATAGACGAACCGCCACTGCCTCTTAAGGAGGCTAGTGTGGATGCCGCTGACTAAGGTATAGAAGGTCTGATCCTTCCCATAATATCTCCCCTCCCTAGAGTAAGGAAAAGCTACTCCCGTAGTAGCTATAATTAATCTATCTATATAAAATAATAAATAATAAAAAAGAAACTTCTTATTTATTTAGAGTACTAGTTACTAAAGACTAGTTCTAGCTATAAATAATTACTTAAGTTTATCTATAACTAAACTATAGTATCTAGTACTCTATAGAACTAATCTAACTAATAAAGACCAGCGAGTATTTATCTAATTAATAAAGACTAGAAGAATATTTAATCTATAGTAAAGAATATATTAGATAGTAAAAGGTATAAAGAGATAAAGATCTAATAGTATTATTCTCTAATTAAAGAATATCTATATGGGAATTATAAAGGAAGAATTACTATAGAAACTATAAATATAAGTAAGAGAGAATTATAGCTTAGGTTATCTTATTATATTTAGTAGCCGGATAGTCAAATAGCTTCTTACTATTAATCTTGGTTTTAATAAACTCAATTATAGTAGTATAATTAGCTAGTTAAGGCAAATTAAGCAGGATTATAAGGCATATAATAGCAGAGTAATATATAAGTAGTTAAGGTAAGTAAGTTATAGAATAATACTTGTAAGTATAACTAATTCCAAGAATTAATTCTAATAAGAGACTAATTAATACCCCTTTTAAAGCTAGGAGTATCTCCCTATATATTCCCTAGTACTTAGCCAGGTATATAAAGCCCTTTACTTAATTAGGAAATCCTATATAATTTATATAATTCCGATTATAAGCTATACCTAAAATAGGAAACTAGATCTATAATATCTAATACCTATTTATATACTATTATATATACCTATTATATTAACCCTTCCTCTGGGCCCTTATTTCTAAGAGGCCTGGGAAAATTATAAATAGCTTTATAAATATTTCCCTAAAACTTTCCTGGCTATTAGCTTTTCCCAAAGACTTCCTATAATTGCCCTATTATTATACTAGGTAATAAAGTTAAGGATATAGTTTATTAATTCTTCCTAGCTAGTTTATAAATCGCCTCTAGTAATTCCTCCTTATAAAGGTAATATAAATATAGCATATACTATTAGATATAAAGCTTATCTAATCTCCTAATTAGTTCATAAATCCTAACTTAGCTTCTATTCGCAAATAAATTATTACTTTATAGGCCTAAGAGCTTGGAAAAGTTAATTCGATCTTCTAGTTTATTTATAAATTCCTTTTTTGGAATTTTCTGGGTATTCCTAGTATAGAGCTAGTTCCGAATTTATAATTACTATTCGGGAAGAAGGTATTATAAAAAGGCCTTTCTTTTCCTACTAACTAACCTTCCTTTTCCTTAGCTATAATACTATACCTAGCTTTTCCTCGTTTCTTGCCTTTTTTCTTTAAGCCTTCTTTAAGCTTCTTTAAGCTTCTTTAAGCCTTATTTAAGCTTTATTTAAGTTCTTTTCTAATTCCCTCTTTTACTTCTTTATTTATTAAGATAAATACTTTTTTTAGTACTTATTAGCCTATTACTACCCGTTTAGCTAATACTTCTATATCCTTAATTTGCCCTTACTATCTTTAATATTCCAAGAATATTACTAAGTTTCCTGACCTTACTTATATTAAGAGTAATAATTACTTAGTATATAATTATTACTACTCTAAGAATAAGAAATATAATCCTATAAGTTATAAATTCCTTCTTTTATTCCTTATTCTAATATTATTCAAGGTTCTTTAAGTATATATAGTATAGTTAAACTACCTTCTTTAAGCTATTAATATATATAAGCGTTTTCCCTATTCTTTACCTAAAAGAGAAAAGGCTATTATTACTTTTCTTTTATACTAAACTATATATACTTCTCGTATTAAAGCTATTATTTGAGGCTAACAGATTCCCCTAATAATCCAAGGAATAGATTAAGTAATTCTTACTAGCTTAGTATAAGTATAAAGTACTCTTAATAATATAGTTAATATTCTTTAATATTAAGTAAACTTATTTCTTTCTTGTTTCTTACTAATAGCTAATAGCTTTATAGGCTAATTTGCTACCTATTTCTCGAGAGGATCCTAATAAGAATAATAATAAGAATAATAGAAAGTAATTACGAGAATAGGGTATTTATAGGATATAGAAATTAGAGTTTTTAATAATTTTTATATGGTTTTTCCAAGAATAAATACATGGTTTTTTAATAGTTTTCTAATAAAAATATTTATCTTTTATATCTCTATTTAGCTAATAATATTATAATATTACTTTTTTCTAAGTATTCTTGTAATTCTTGAGCTATATTCTCTAGATTACTTAGTAGTTCCTATATATTATTCGCTAGTAAGTAGCCCTTCTAATAAATAAGATATTTCCTTTCTTTTCTGCCTTCTCTATAGGCCATAATAAATTCTATTTCGAATTCCTTTTTGCCCTTAATCTCGACTGGCTCTGGTTCTATTATAGTACTAGCTTGCGGGTATTATAGTTCCAAGAGAGAAATATGGAAAATATTATAAATCTAATATAATAGTAGTAATTCTAAGTAATATACCTGTTTATATATTCCTATAACTTCTAGAACTTTAAAGGGGCCGAGATATCTATTTACTAGCTTTATACTAGGTTATAGCTATTAAATATTCTTTATATAAAGTATGACTTTATTATATATCTTAAACTTCTTATTAATATATTTCTTATTATAGTACTTTTTTTATATATTTACTATTTCTTGCTATTATTTCTCTAGTACCTCCTGTTTTACTTGAATTCTTTATACTTTTTCCTATATTACTAGCGCCCCTCTTTCTGGAATATTATTCTTAATATATAGTTTAATACTAGGATAGAATTCATATAAGGTATAGAATAGGGATATTTCTATTATTAAATATATAGAGTTATTATATGTGAATTCTATAAGAGTAAGCTTTACTACCTAGTTATCTTACTAGTAGCTAGTATAGTACCTCAAGTATTATTCTAGAGTTTGGTTTAGATTCTCTGTTTATCTATTAGTTTATAGATAAAATACTATACTTAGCTATTATTAAACCTTTAAGTAAAAGTATAAACTTAACTAGAACTTGCTTATAAAAATAAATTCTTTATTAGAGGTTATATCCGCAGGTATACCAAAGTCTTTAATAATATAATATATAAATAGCTCCGCTAGCTTAGGAGCCAAGACTTCCTTAGTAATCGAAATATATCATACCATTTTTGTATATTTATTAATAATAATAAGTATAGAATTATATACTTTATTACGAAACCTAGAAAGAGATAGCCCTATAATAAAGTCCATAGTAATTTCTTACTATAACTTGAAAAAGAAGGGAAATAAACTAAGTATACTATATAGTAAATATCTTTTTATCTTAGTTTATTAATATATAGGACAAGTTCTAATATAGTCTTTTATATTCTTTCTTATACTTTACCAGAAGTACTTTCTCTAGAAGATCTCTAGTATCTTACTAATACCAAAATACCTACCTATAGAATTATTATAGTTAGCTTATAGTAATTCTTCTTTGAGAGCCGGCTTATTTAGTATATAAATAGCACCCTAATATCTTAATAACCCAGATATATTAAGTTTTTAAGTCTTAATAGCTCTAGTAAAGATTTCCTTTAAGAACTATTTATATTACCGGTATTATATTAATAAATTAAGCCTTTAGTACTATAATAGTAGTTTAAATAATATCTCTCTACTTTCCTTATATACT